CATAGGAGTGTTAGAATGCTTAAAACCCAACACATCCCTAGTACGCTGGGCGTAGCAATCAGTGCCTAAACCCTGCTTTTGTGGTTTGAGCCATATTTAAGCTCCTTCACTTCCACAAACCCATTCCATTCTCAGCCTCAACCTCCGCCTCTCCAACACCCTCTCTTTAAACCCTAACCCTACTTTGAGCCTTGTGAGCAAAAAGAAGGTGTTTTTAAGTGCTTTGTGATGGGTTTTGAGCAAAACATACAATCCTATGTGTGCATGCAACCCTAATGCTTTGGATCTAGGTTTTCTCTAATTGAACGTGCAAACTTGAACACAAAAGAAGAAACCCTAGGTTCTATGTATTACAATAAAAATCACATAATAGGGTTATAATACATACCTTTAAGATTGTTATAGTAAACAATATTGAATCCTTGCTTGAAAGACCTTTGGTAGAAAGCGCCACAAGTGTCGCGCCTCTAATGGCTCACAAACAAACTTAAGCAACCAAGGATTAATATATATAGAGAGAGAGAATGGAATAAGAATTTCGGCTCTAAGCCTTCTTGAGGATGCATTCACGAAATTCAACCCTAATGAGTGTTTATATAGGTGTTAGGAAGGTATTGGATAAGGCAGGTGTATCCAAGATAACCCTAATCCATTAACTTCCTCCCTAAGGCATCCAAGACACCCTTAGAGCCCAAGGAAACCCTAGGAGCATCTATATTTCGTTCACCCCCTTTAGTGAGGTTCTAGAATTGCCCAATGCTCAACTATTGAACATTGACACCATTAGTCCCTGCAGTTTCAATTAATTAATATAATCCCAAAATTAACTTCTGATTAAATATTAATTAAACAATATGATTTCTAATTAATATATTATTTCCATAATACATTAATAAATCATTTATTTTGATTTCTAATTAATTTATCAACCAAGTAATAAATTAATAAATCATTCCTCTCTCTAAAAGTAAATCCTATTCAATTGCCAGGTTTGAAGGCAACCCAAAAGGACTTTGCTACTAGCAATTCAAGTTTATACCAACTAGTTATGGGCTTAGACACCTAATCCAACACTTTGGGAGTGTTCTTGGTGCACCTTGGAGAAAAAGGAACTCACTGAAGAAGCATTGGTTGCATTGGAGCTTGTAGATCTAGACCTTGTTCACCTTGATCTTTCTTTTGGAGGTATAAAGTTTGAATCTTGGTGATGAAATTGTTAGATCTAGCTAGTTTTGGGTGTTATGAGCTTTTGGTCACTTTTAGTCCATAAAGTGTAGATCTTGAAAGTTTTTGACCTTGTTATGGATAAAGTTGGAAACTTTATCCATCCAAACATCATATTGACTCAGATCTGAAGGTTGGAGACTTGGACTTAATGGATAAAGTTGAAAAATATGCACTTTTGGTCCCTTTGAGACTTAAAGACTAGATCTTGTTTGTTGGGACCATTATAATGGATAAATTTGGAAACTTTATCCATTATGGAACTATTAGGAACCATAAAAATGTGATTTTGGTCCTTATAGCCCTTCCATGTAAGAATTATGATGTCTTAATGGATTAATAAGTTAAGGTTTTAGCTTTTGGACCTTCCCTAGCCATGGAAAGTCGTAAAGGTGGAAACTTTATGAATTAAGACAATGTTTTGAGGCTAGATATGAGTTTGGGTGAAAAGTCCTTTAAGGGATTAAGTGCTTAAAGAATAAGTGGGATCAGGTTGCGTACACTGGGCATACTCACTGCCTTGGAGTTTGACTTTTGTTGACTTCTGTTGACTGTTGACCGTTGAATTTTTGACCAAGTTTGACCTTGGGTCAAACTTGAGGATTTTGGTCTATTGATTAAGATTTTATCTGGTTCTGGTGTTAGTGGATTTGCGGAAGCAAGCAGTGCAGAATGGAGTATATCACAGTCTTTTGAGGTTCTTCGATTCAGGTGAGTTTTCCTCACTGTACTCGTGGGTCGAAGGCACCAATGCCGACCCACTAGATTATGGTCGGGTTGAGGCGGTCATGCTTTGTGCTGAAGGCCAAGATACCCAAGGCGGTCTGGATAGGTTGTACGCCTTGCGAGGCAGTCTAGTCAAGATGAAGGCTCGGAGAGTAGTCCAGATAGGGTGTAGGCCCTGCAAGGAGGTCCAGTCATGTCGAAGTCTCGTAGAGCGGTCCAGATAGGTTGTAGGTCCTGCGAGCCGGTCCAGTCAGGCTGAAAGCTCATATTTGCATGCTTTGTTTGTTATGTTGTGTGATGGTACTTTGGGGGAACTCACTAAGCTTTGGCTTACAATTTTAGTTTATTGTTTCAGGTACTTCTGAGGATCGTGGGAAAGCGAAGGCCTGATCGTGCACATCTTCATATTTTCATGATATTGATTTTTGGGACACTCTAATATGACTTTACTTTTAAAATAATGGTTCTTTTTGTAAACAATGATGGTTAATGACTGCTTTCGAAAATTTTAAATTTCTATGATTTTTGGGATGTTACAAGTTGGTATCAGAGCCTTGGTTTGAGAGAATTGGAGGAGCATTCGTGTGAATCCAGACTCAAACTAAGGAACTGCAAAAGTTTTAAAAGGATTTTCAAAAGTAACCAAGGAAGGATGTGAAATGTACGATCAGCCGGAGCCATAAAGTATACCCCACGTTACCACACTGTTATTTGATATGATGTTTATGATAGAACAACATGATAGTGATAGGCTAGAGATCTTCAGGAATTGGATGATAAAATTTCTTGATATATGATGCCTAATAGCCTAGGGTTACTTCTTGTATGGAATTGACGTCATTACTCTAGTTGCTTAGTGTATGCATCATAATTGTACATAACTAAGATTTTACAGCCTGAGAATGTTTGATTTAACCTTATTTTCTTGTTCCTCGTTTGGTTGTGGGCTTAGGTAGAATCAAGTATTCGACTGTCTATAGGATCCAGTGTTATGTATGATTAGCATACATGAGTGCTATAGGGTTGGTGGAAGTTTCATGGATGAGTCTATGTATGAGAAGTCGGCCAAATGAGGAATGTTTATCCACTCCCAAAAGAGTGAGGATAGGATGTATGTGTATCCTAGTTGTTGTATTTGTTTTGGGTGGTTGTGATGATCCTTGAGACAAATACGGGTAGGTGTGGAAGGTAGTATGAGCCCGTACTACTGAAAGCACAAGACCCGTATGCATCGCAAGGAAGTCACGAACCCCGAGGGGTAGTCTCGTCATGTGTTTGATGCATTATGTACTGTGGCATTCTGATGCATTTTTGGTTCGCTTTAGTATGGAGCTCACAAAGGGATCTGATTCAAGGTCTGGACTTGAGGGCCATGATAGGCCGGGATTGATTGTTGATCAGATGTGGGAGATGATTACCATTGAGGTTTCACAGATAATGTAGGAAGAATTCTCTGGTATCGTGGATCGGATGATTGGCGGGCTAATTGCTAAGTTTGAGGAGCGAACTACAACTTTGTAGACTGTATGGAGGGACTACTGAGATGACTACCAGGGAAAATAGCATGGTTTGATACCATGATTTGTGACAATTTTTCCATATACGTCGGTCTTTGGTTATGGTTGTTCAGGCATGAGAATGGGTATGGTGATTGTTTGGGCCTTAGTGTTCATGTCAGTTTGGGTTTGAATGGTGCAGACCTAGGTGAGTTAGTTGGTTTTGAGGTATCGAAGGCCTTGCTCGAGGCCATGCCAATTGAGTCGCGGGACTCATGAAGGAAACGATTGTTATGATCAGCTCGAGGATTGCAGCTGAAAGCTGAGTAGTTGACAGATGGATTGGAATGTCGCTATCTACGATAGAGTTATGTTCTTCTAACTTATCGTGCTCAAATGAAAGACAGAGTAGACATGTGATCTTCAAAGTTGGGGTGTAGACCCAACACAGGGCTAGATGGTTGCGGTTTTTGGCAGCATGTATGGCAGTGTGGGAATGCACAAGAGGATCCTTGTGGCACGATTACCTTGAGATGAGATCAAGGGTCTGCTTTCTCGTAGTATCCATAATGAGAAGCGAATAGTTTTTTCTTTTACCTAAATTTTGTCTAATTTCCCGCTCCATATAACGACTGATGAATGATTTGCGCGTGTTGAATCTTGAGGCAAAAGAAACGTAGACAAGAACATTAAGTCTAATATTATTAACCTAATTTATATTTGGGTCTATACTCAACCTAGTCTAATATATATGCAAAATTGTTTTGGGCCCTATTATTTAGTGGGCCTTGTCATGAGAACACTTTGAACTCTTTTTGGGCCGACCTTGTCATGAGCACACTTTGAACTCTTTTTGGGCCGGCCTTGTAAAGCTATATACAATCCTCCCTAATAAATAACAATCCTATTGCCACTTGTCAAATTCTTATGCAATTAGACATATGGCATTTTCTTGAATTTTTGATTTACCTATTATTCCATTTGTCAATTTATTAAGATGCCACCTAATCAATATATAATGTAGACAACAAGACAGAAGGACATATAACCTACCTACCGCTTCTGAGGTTGCTGCTTTAATTGTTGGTGACATTGGTAATTCAATTGATAATAGAGATATCATCGTAACAACTAAATCAGGCAGTCTACAATGTATAAATGAATTGCATCCCGCTTACCTTGCTATTCAATACCCACTACTCTTTCCTTATGGGGATGATGGATCGAGTTGACATCCCTCATAGAGGTGTTACGTGTTCAATGAATAACAAACGGCGTAACTGTACAATGAGATAATTCTTTTCTTATAGCATTCAAGACAGAGTTAATATTTTCTCATTAATTCTGAATTCAAGAAGACTTTTTCAACAATTTCTGGTTGATGCTTATACGATGATTGAAAGCTAGAGACTGTATTACATACGCAACCAACAAAAAGTTCTTCGATGTGAGTCCTATGAAACTTTACGCAGCGTGAAAAACAATGGAAATACAAATATTTCGAATATTGGGCAGCGTGTGATATTGCCTTCTTTTACTGGTGGTGCACGCTACATGATGCAGAACTATTTAGATGCCATGTCACTTTGTAAGTGGTTTGGCTACCCAGATTATTTCATAACTGTAACATGCAATCCAAAGTGGCCCGATATTCAAAGGTTTATTGCTGACACAAACCTCAAACCCAAAGACAGACCGAATATCCTATCTAGGTTGTTCAAAATGAAGCTAGATTCATTGATTAAAGACTTAAAGAAAAATTCATTATTGGGTTCGGTCGAAGCAGGTAATTTATATTAATAATTTATTGTTAAAGTGTTTTTATATTTATTGTTAATATGTTACATTATTTTTTTCAAAATCTTATAATACGTCTCTATGTAAATAAATTTTCAGTTGTTTATACGGTGGAGTTTCAAAAGCGCGGCCTACCTCATGCTCATATATGTCTATTCATGCACTCTGATTACAAGCTCCCAACCGTTGAACATATTGATCGGGTTATTTATGCTGGAATTCCAAACAAAGACGACGATCCAGAATTGTATGCACTTGTCAGCGAGTTCATGATGCATGGTCCTTGTGGTAGTGATAATTCTAAATGCCCATGCATGATTGATAACAAGTGTTCAAAAAACTTCCCAAAGACATTCACAGAGCATACTTTGGTTGATGAAAATGGTTATCCAATATATAGGAGACGTAATGATGGATCTTTTGTGGAAAAGTCTGGTGTTAAGTTAGACAATAGAAGTGTGGTTCCATATCACAAACTCCTCTTGAAAAGATATTAAGCTCACATTAATGTTGAGTGGTGCAATCAGGGTGCTTCCATCAAATATTTGTTCAAATATATTAACAAGGGTCCTGATAGGGCTACTGTTACGGTTGTACCAAGCAACAACGCAGATGATAATGATGATTTAGTTGACGAAATAAAAAACTACTACGATTGTAGATATTTGTCTGCATGTGAAGCTTCGTGGCGTATATTCAAATTTGACATTCATTTCAGGACTCCTTCTGTTGTGAGGCTTCCTTTTCATCTTCCTGTACAACAAAATGTTGTATACGATGCTGACGATGATATTGAAGATGTCCTCAATAAACAGTCTGTTTCTTCTTCGATGTTCTTAGCTTGGATGGAGTGTAATGAACATAATAAGGAAGCACAAAAACTTTCTTATGTTGAATTTCCTACCAAGTTTGTTTGGAAATTGAAGGATCTTTGTTGGAAGCCAAGAGAAAAAGAATTTTCTATCGGTCGAATTCACACTGTCTCTCCTAATGTTGGGGAAGCATATTTTTTGAGAATCCTTTTAAATAAAGTCAAAGGTCCGAAATGTTTTGCAGACATTCGTACGGTTAATGGACATGTGTGCTACTTTTAGAGAGGCATGTTATGCTCTTGGACTTTTGGAAGATGATAGAGAATATATTGATGCAATTGAGGAAGCAAGCCATTCAGGTTCTGGATATTATTTGCGTTATCTATTTGCAACTATGCTGAAGTCTAATAGTTTGTCGAGACCGTACTGTGTCTGGGAAAAAACTTGGCAATACTTATCAGATGGAATTCTCTACAATCAACAACTAAGATTAAAGGCACCATGTAATATGTTATTTTTCATTATTTAAATTAATGTTTTACTTAATAATTCTTACATAATATATTATATTTATTCAATAAAATTTATTATATATTTTTATATATTTAACTAAATCTTATTAACCTTATTATTATCGGTATGTTTTAATTTTATATAGTTATATATCTATAAAAATTAACTTGCAATTTCTACAGGTTTATCGCTTGATGAGGATCAAGTTAAGAACTTGACACTTTATGAGATTGAAATTTTTTTATTCCACAACAATTCAAGCCTCAAAGATTTTGATGGAATGCCTTACCCTGATCATGAGTCTATATCTTCTTCAAATAATCGATTGATTACTGAGGAGCTAGATTTTGACAGGACGAATCTATTGCAAGAGTTTTATCAGCTTCTTGGTTCATTAACAGATGAACAAAGAGATGTTTTCGACGATATTATCACAAATGTTAAAAAAAAAGAAAGGAGGTGTCTTTTTTGTTTACGGTTACGGAGGTACAGGGAAAACATTTCTCTGGAAAACATTATCCGCCGCTTTAAGATCGGAGGGTGAAATTGTGTTAAATGTTGCTTCAAGTGGTATTGCTTCATTATTATTGACAGGAGGCAGGACATCGCACTCTCGATTTATAATCCCTTTAAATCTTACCGATGATTCGTTTTATTCTATAACGCCGGAAAGTGATGTTGCTGAATTGTTAAAAAAAACATCATTGATTATATGGGACGAGGCACCCACGATTCATAAGCATGCCTTTGAAGCTTTGGATAGATCTTTGAAGGATATATTGGGTTGTCATCTTCGTAGCAACTCAAATTTGCCATTTGGAGGAAAAGCAATTGTTTTTGGAGGTGATTTCAGATAAATTCTACCTGTTGTTCCAAATGGAAGTAGACAAGACATAGTCAATGCTTCAATAAGTTCCTCCTATATTTGGTCAAATTGCAAGGTCTTAAGATTAACAAAAAACATGAGGTTAAGTCTTCAAACATCTAATATTGAAGAAACAGCCACATTTGCAAACTGGATTTTGAATATAGGTGAAGGAAAGGTTGGTGGCTTAAACGACGGCGAGACAATTATTGATATACCAGATGATATTCTCATTACAGATTCATCGGATCCTATTGGTTCATTAATTACATTTGTCTATCCTTCTATTGTTGAAAATGCCAATAATCCGATGTTTTTTCAAAAAAGAGCAATCCTTGCACCGAAAAATGAAGTTGTTCAAGAAATAAACAATCGTTTGTTATCATTATTTCCTGGAGATGAAAAAGAATACTTAAGTTCAGACAGTCTTTGTCAATCAGATTTTGTACACGATGACTTTGACGAATCTTTATACTCTCCTGATGTTCTAAATGGCCTTAGACCTTCAGGTTTGCCAATTCATAAATTGGTATTAAAAGTCGGTGTTCCAGTTATGTTATTGAGGAATATTGACAAGAAATACGGTTTGTGTAATGGAACAAGGCTACTAGTTATAGCATTGGGTAAGCGTGTTATAGAAGCAGAGATAATTTCTGGAAGTAATATAGGAAAGGTACGTTTATTCCAAGAATGTCACTGACCCCGTAACCGTAAAAATCATAAAAAAACATAAAAAAATACTTAGACATCACAAATCTTTTTTTTTGATTTTATATTATGAATTTTCGCAGCTTTTTCTTTATTTTCGCTGATTTTGTTTTTTGAAAAAAAACCAAAAAAAAACATGATTTTTTTATTTTTTTTTCAGCGATTTTGTAAATAAACCTGCGATTTTTAGGTAAAAAATGTCAAAAAAAAATATTTGTGATCTCTAAGTATTTTTTTTATGATTTTTATGATTTTTGTAAGGTTTTTTTTATTTTCCATATAACCCTTCCCTATATATATATATATATATATATATATAACCCGTGGGAACCACGAGTTATAAAATTAATTAAACTTTCATAATAAAAATTTATAATTATTAATCAATTTTTTTAAATAAATCATTTTAAATAAATTATTAATTAAGAGATATATCAAAATTTTAAAGTTATTATAACTTCAAATTTAACATATAATTAGAAAATGTAAATTTGAATTTTGAAATGAGTTGCCTAATATATATGTACATGACACATGACATAATATTAATAAGTAGTTGTATTAGAGTGACACTTGGCAAAATGAGATTAAAACTATTTATTTATTAGAATAGAGATATCCTATGGTGCAGTTCGGTTTTATACGGTTTGAAAATTTTGAAACCACAAACAAACTGTTCACGACTTTTCGAAAATGTGAAACTGCAAGCCAAACCATAAAACCAAACTGATGCCCGGTTTGGTCGGTTTCACTGTTTGAAACCGAACCATACACCATAGTAGAAGCACTTTTGGGAGGACATGTAGCTAACAGGTAAAATGGATTTTTTGTCCTTATAATGCAAAAAATAAAAAAAATTATAGAACATTAACAAAGAACAAAGCGTTCATATGGCCGAAGCACCCATTATATCTCTTAACAAACCTATCAATTTTAGATTGAGTTCGGAGGTCCAATTGTAAAATTTCATCTTGTTAAGCTAAACGAGGCTTTTTTTTTTCATATAAACTATTTAGTTGGGCCACAACTCTCTTATTCGAAACATTTCGGGCCGGAGTTATATAAATTGGCCTAGGGTTTTAATATCTCTCCTGCCGTCTACTGAATATCACCACTGCAAGAGGTAAAGAAGGTAGAGTCGCCGTCGCCGTACTTTGTACCGGAGTAATTCCACTATCTCTACACGTTTATTTTCCGTCCGTTTTTATCAGCTCCTCGTATATGTAATCATACATGTTATGCGTGTCACTCTCTATTATTTATGTATTATTTATCGAAGGATTACAAGGTCTACGAGACTTTGTTGGTAATAATGTCTGCATACTTGTTTCAAATCATGTTGAAGTTGTACTGTTTGTATGTTCTTTTCTGGAGGTTAGATGTTGCGTAAAAATTAGAGTTTCATATGTGCCTTCATACGCTGATTGCATTTCCTTTTGTCTATATTGCATGTGTTGATTGTTCTGTAGTGTAGAGCTTTAATACTCATTTGATCTTATGCTGGATCGAATCATTGACTAAGGTTGTGATTAACAGTATCTAGAAGATGGCGTATGCAGCGATGAAACCAACAAAGCCAGGGCTAGAAGAGCCTCAAGAACAGATTCACAAGATTAGGATTACTCTTTCCTCCAAGAATGTTAAAAATCTTGAAAAAGGTCCGTGTTCTTTCAGCAGATTCTTTAGCTTATCTGTTTGTTCTTGTGTATGTAATTATGGTGCTGAGGGGAACTCGTGTTCTTCATTGGTTATTACTAACAAAATGACTAAACTACCATGATCTAATAATCCTTTGATGTCTATATTAGTGATTGTTCAGAAGAGTCTTGACTAACTTTTTTGAATTGGGGATTTGTGACAGTGTGTGCTGATTTGGTTCGTGGTGCAAAGGACAAGAAGTTGAGAGTTAAGGGACCAGTTAGAATGCCCACCAAGGTTCTTAATATCACAACCAGGAAATCTCCTTGTGGTGAAGGTAATTTAACTTTTCATTTTGCTTGTGTTATACTGCAAGTTCATCTCATTATTTCTAATGAAAGAACAACATTTAGTTTTTGTATTTGCTGTTTGTAATAATGTAGGAACAAACACATGGGACAGATTTGAGCTTCGTGTACACAAGCGTGTGATTGATCTTTTCAGCTCACCAGATGTTGTGAAGCAAATCACCTCCATCACCATTGAACCTGGTGTTGAGGTTGAGGTCACCATTGCTGATTCTTAGATTGCTGAGTGCTGTTTGCCTTGCCCTATACATTTACTATGTTTTATCTTGGGTAAGATTTCATGTAGGGTTAAATACTTTTTGCAATTTTGGAAGTATTTCAAGTGAAGAAGATATTCAGAGTTATGTTTATCTTTAATCTATTGTATTTTTATCAACTTAGTGCATTTCAAAGTTCTTGCTCATTTTGATATTTTCTATTGGTGTGTAGTTTCATGTGAGATATTAATTCCAATTACTAAAACCATTCAGACTATTTAGAAGTAATACAAAATTGGTGATCCTATTTAACACGTAGATCTTTTTTTTGACAGTATATTTTAACATAATTATGAATCCACCCAACCACAATATCCTTAAAAAAGACTCATACTAATTTGATATTTATGGAGCTTTTTGCTAGTAGTAGCAATTTTGTAATTTGATGAAGTTTTGAATTAATCCACTACACAATGAGCGATCACTCTGTTTAAAAGGTTAAAAAAAGCTCGAGTTTGTTGATATAAACGTGACCACTGTGGTCATATTTTGTGATTATCCCTTAATTATATTTCTTGTATTAGTAGTTACACATAAGCGGTGTCCTTAAAAGACATTCTACAATGGCGTGCTTTATCTATTTCTCAGTCGACCTCAATCATGCATGAATACTCTTTTCTCGTGAAAAGTAGGGGCTTAAAACCTAATTTTATTACTTTTATCTCTAGCCCTAAATAAAAACACCATATAAAGTAGAACAAAAGAAGATTAGATACAAATAAGTGAATAACTACATATGTGCAACCCTCCGCAGATTTACAAAGAACACCACCATCTTCACATAGACCCAATCTTTGAAGTCATCAAGAAACAAAAAAAAGCAACGTCCCACACGGCGGTTAAAAAGTAAAGCACCACATGATATCCAAAACGCGGTTAAAAAGTAAAGCACCACATGATATCCAAAACCCAGTAGCAATACCAGCTCCCCCACCAATATAGAACCATACCCAAAATTCATCTAGACCTTCTCCATCACCCTTACTTTTACCAATGACAGATGGTACTTCATCTTCTTCGTCTCCAGGACATTTTGTAATAAGGGGAGGTCCACATAATCCTATGTTTCCATCGTATCTTGAAGGCTCAAAGGACTGGAGTTGAGTGCTAGATGGAATTCTACCCGCCAAATTATTACATGAGACGTCTATGTAATCCAATAAACTCATTTGAGACATGCTTGATGGTATATCTCCCGACAAATTGTTTCTAGATAAATCCAAAGCTAAAAGTTTTTTCATCAGACCCATATTACGTGGAATCTCTCCACGAAGAGCGTTCCCTGATAAATTTAATGCAATGAGTTCATAAAGATTGGTGATCTCATATGGGATTTGCCCTGTTAAATTGTTGCTTGACAGGTCAATGCTCTTCAACAATCTCAAATTGTTAATGAATTCACGCTCATCTCCTAGCCACTCAACCACTGCATGGTCAGCATAAGCAACACCATCTCTACCTAAATGGAAATACGATGAGTAATCATATTGTAGATCTTGTACTTGTGTGAATCCTTCTTGAACCATGCTAGTAAGATTGTTCAAACATGAAGGAATGGTTCCATGGAGATTGTTTATTGACAAATCCAAGATTTGAAGGTTTTCTAATTGACATAATTGTAAAGGCATGGTTCCGAAGAAGTTGTTTGATCTTAGGATAAGAACATACAACCCCAATAAGTTTTCTCCAATCCAAACAGGCACGTTACCCGAAAACTTGTTGCCCCCCAAATTCAACGAGTTTAAACTCGTGCAATTTTTTAAAGACATGGGCAATTCTCCAGAGAAGTTATTGTCGTATAAATACAATACCTTGAGTTTGATCAAAGATTCAACTGAAGTAGGAATCCTTCCAGATAGGTTGTTGTGTCCCAGATTTAGAACTTTTAGCTGTTTGAAATTCCATAAACAGTCTGGAAGTTCGCCAGTTAAAAAGTTGTGGGAGAGGTCAAGAACTTGTAAAAACCCATCAACAATTTGGCATAAAAAGGAAATCCCTCCATAGAATTTGTTTCTGGAGAGATTTAATGATGCCACAGTGGAAGAAACATTAGGTATTGGACCATAGAAGTTGTTGGAACTCAAATCTATCACCGAACCAAAGTCAAAATTCGATGATAAATCTGATACTTTTCCACTGATGTTGTTGGAAGAGAGATTGAAATAATGTAATCGTGAAGGCCACGTGTCCCAAAAATCAAGAGGAATTGTGTCTGATATTCTAGTGTTAGAAATATCAAGACGAGTAAGATGTTTGAGATTTTGAATCCATTTTGGGAATTGAGGCCCTAAATTGCAAGAGCTTAGATCAATCGCCTCTGCATAAGAAAGGTTTGACATGGGATCTATGGAAGGAACTCCTTCGAGTGAGTTTTTTGAAAGATCAATTATAGAAACCTTCGAGTTTCCAATGTTTACAGAGATGGCACCTCTAAGATTATTGAAAGAAACGTCAAGGGTTTCAAGTTTTGGTAGTTCCCACACTTTCTCACTTATAGTTCCGTTTAAGTAATTGTGAGATAGACACAAGTATCCTAGGTTTGAAAAGTTTTGGATCTCATCGGGTAATGACCCTGTAAATTGGCTTCCTGAAGCTGACAACCATTGTAATGTAACTGATGTGCATCCAGACAAGTTGTTCAGAAAATCAGGAAGGTTGACAATAGCAGAGTTGTTTTCAAATCTAAAAACTTCCAAACTACAAAGGTTACCAAGATATTTTGGTATCCCATCTAACGTGTTGCTAGATAGCAAAAGAAAACGAAGCTTATTGTTGGTTAATGGGAATAACCAAGTATACATGGATGAGGTGAGATTGTTGTTTCTAAGATCAAGGATTTCAATTGATGAAGAAGATTTGACAAAAGAAGAATATGGATCCATGACTTGAGAAAGCTCACATCCTTGTAAACTTAAATGTGATAGTTTTCGAAGACCCAAAACTACATTAACCCAATTGTTTGCTTTGGACATGGAGATCTCATCCATCTCAAGATGTTGCAAATAAGATAGATGAGATATCCACTCCAGATTTTCAACTCTACATCTTCCAACATATCCAAGGAGAAGCTCTTCTAAGTTAGTGAGGTTTCCAAACTCTGGAGGAATGGTTCCATAAAGAGAGTTGTGGGAAAGGTCAAGATAACTTAATTCGGTCAAGGAACCAAGTGAGGCTGGAATGATTCCATTAAAACCATTGTCGCTAAGATCAAGGTACCTTAATTGAGTCATGGAACCAATGAACGTGGGAATGGGTCCATGAAAAGAATTGAAGGAAAGTTGAAGATGATTCAAGTTGCTTAAGTTAAGCAACGAATGGCTAATCTTACCTCCAAGACCACTGTGCCATAGTTCAAGCTCTGTGACATGACCAGTTTCGTTGTTGCATGTGACTCCGAACCACTTACAACAATCGTCTTCTTCAGCTTTCCATGTATAGAGATGACCATTGGGGTCTTGAATGCTAACTTTGAAATCAAGGAGAGCATGTCTCTCTTTATCAGTGCACTTATTGACAACACCTTTATCATCATCATCTCCTCCTCCTCCTCCCACTGCTACCAATTGGTTAGCAGTTGTAGTCTCAGTGAGTAGCAAGAGAAGTGAGAAGATTATAAACACACAAGGGTTCATGATGTAAGTGCACATGTTGGTGATTTTTGTTTTGTATTGATGCATATATGAAACGCCACACCCCCTTAAGGTTATATATAGTGTCGGGTGTTAAGAAGAATCTTTCATGTGGATTATACCTCAAATTGGCGCCTATTTGTGTGGAGCACACAACACTCAAAATTGTGATGTTTGAACGAAAGTATAAGACAAATTAAAAATGAATAAATGCAATGAGTTGCCCAAGTTAGACGTCAAAGACTTGCTAAGTCTTGGAAATTTGTATTTATTTTAAATATCTTTTCCAAACTTGTGGTAGATTTTGGCCCTCATAATATGTGATGTAATTCCCAAAAAGAAAAAAAAAACTATATCAAATACCATAAATATCCATGAAATTTGGAATATGATATTCTTTTGAGTCTAAGAATTTAATGAGTAGGAAATGAATTTTTCCTACTTAGACTAAATAGTTACCTTGTTTAATTCAAGCCGACTTGTTTAAGTGAACCCAAGTTGGTCCATTTCGATTTAGTCCATGGTGTTTATTGTTTTAAAAAAATATTTTAACTAAAAGCGCTAGCTATGACTCAAAATTTTAAAATGATTAAAGAAATTTACAAGTTTATTATAACCTTTTTAAGGATGTAGACTTAATTTAATTTATGATCTATATTAGGGGTGTATTTCTTTCTTTATAGATGTTGTGCCTACAGATGGTAAAAACACACGTATCTGATGGATACCTGACATTAGGATTGTAATTGACTAAGGATGGGCATAGATACATTGTATGCCCGAAGTTAAAAGATAGGGACAAGGACAGGGAAAGCATACCCCTAGTTTAATCGAACCCGAACCAAACAATGTGACATTGTTCACAAACAATATCAATTTCATAATATCAGAATTTTACAAGCAATATGAGTATTTCACAAACAATAGAGTATGTGAATTCACACCTTATCAAGATAGTATTAGGTTTGATATAGTGTTTGATAAAACTAAATAATAAGTAGCATTCATTTGTCATTCAAAGGAGAACATACAAGGTCCAAGTAGAGGTGCACATGGTCCTAGTAAATTTGGTTTTAGATTTTTTAATATCCGGATCGGATAAAATCAAATCCAGCCAATTTCAGATTTTGGATAATCCAGACTAAATTTTAGTTGGAAATTATAGGATCCGGTCAAAACCCGTGGATAGATTTTTTTTTTAGATGTTGGTGGGAAATTATATTTTTTTTAGATAAAAAGGTATCCTACAGAAAATCCTATTGGATTTTTTTTGTAACCAAATAAAATAATATAGGGGTCGGATTATTTTACAGATAAAAAGCTTTGGATCCGTTTTGTGCACCTCTAGGCCCAACTGTTCCTATGAAACTTTGATCATATACGAGACAATCGTAATACCATCCATGGCGTGAGATTAAATCATGGAATGCAAATAATTAACGAAGCTGTCTAGGTTTTGAACGTAGGCCTCCATTTTAAAATTTCATTTCCCAACCATTAAGCTCTATGATCAACATGTATATTGATTTAAATATGTAAAACACGTATTCAACCTCAAATGTTATCAAACAAAACTGTACACAAGACTGTTACAAACTTCTTAACGATTGTAAACCACTTTAAACACTCACTACTCTTGTCTTTGTTCATCAAAAACATACAAACATTGCACCTAAAAATTCGTGTATCTTTGGTACAACACCTCAGAAATGTCACCTAGCCTTTTGGGTACTCTTCACTCCAAAAAACTTACATGGCTCGGGTGCATGCATGCTTAATTATTATATATAATTGTCGTGCGATAGGCCTTAAAAGAAGGAATGTTTGGCAGGAGCTCGACCAACAGCCCTCATCAAATTGGCCACTTCCAAGATCCTTGCCTCTTTTGTCCCTCTCTTTGCCTCTGCAGTCGCTCTCCTTTCTTCTGCTTTCCTTCGAGCTTTTGCTATGTCATTCTGCATTTTCTCCATTGCCCTTGCTCGTTTCTCCTCCAGTTTTCTCTACACCAACCAATATCATGTTCGTATAACATTTAAACAATCTTTATAACGACTTTGATTCAGCATATAGCTTAATAAAAACATATATATGAAAAGGAAATCAGTTAATATTCTTCTCACATCGGATCTTTACTATTCACTCTCCTATCTCAAAATCGGTTCACCTATCTGAAAATCAATTTCACTGCATATAAGGGTTGTACTATGTTCATTTAAAGTTGTGTCAGAAGATAGATTAGTGCTACAGGGTTCTCTAAGAGTTTAAGTTGATTTATAGTATCGCATAAAGATAATGTATTAACAAAATGACAAAAACTACAGCTACGACTGATTACCAATTAAAAGACTTTTCGTTAACACTTAACAGGATACGTGTGTATGCTTTGACCCGTTAGAAGAATCGTACGTACCTCAACTTTCTTCATCCACAAACTGGATTTCTGAACCTGTTCATTCTCCCACCCGTTGATGATCGCATCATCACGTTTGAATCGATTATTGATCTTTGAGATCTTGGCGTTTTGCCAAGCGGATATCTTCGATTCGACCTCATCTTTCTTCACCCTCTGAACGGACACCTCGCTATGGTTTCCACCGGCGGTGATCATGGAACTTGTGCCACCCTGTGGTCTAGTCGGCGACTCCATAGGATTATTATCTGGCACCATCGCTAACGGATTAGTTTCTCTCATATCTTCCTCACCAATCCTTTCCAGATTACTGCTTCCATTGTTGGTGTTCATACTGTTCACTCCCTCGCTGATTTCGCTTCCGTTTATGCCAGTTCCGGCCAAGACCAGGGCATTAAACTCTCTGCTCATGGTGGTGAAGTTTTCACTTTCGGTGCTGGTTACTGAGAGGGATGAGGATCGGTGGCTGGTGCTTTCCCAGGGCTCACGGTGAGGGCGGTAGGGTGGTGCTGGAAGTGGGGAGGTTAGAGCATGGATTTCTCTAATGTTTTCATCATCATCATCGCCTTGTTCTTGATCATGTGAAGAAGAAAGTGTTTGATCATTGAACATGTTTGTCTTCTGGGAAGATAACAAAACAGAAAGACCAAGAATTAGAGCTTGGAGAAAAAGGTTTGGGAAGGAAAGAAAATGGCGTAATCACAATATAAAATGCATTATGATGATATGATTAATGATGCTGGGTTAATTAAGTAAAAGAAAAAAAAACTAAAAAATACTAAAGCAAATAATAACCACAAAAAAAAAAAAGATGACTTTGCATGGAGTGTAGACTCAAACATCTCTTCGGTAAGAAGTACTTATCATGTTTTCCTTATTAATTTTTTCTAACATATTTATTTATTAGAGGTGATAAAATACACAAGCTATGTTGCTTATTTTGGTGTTATAACATATTTTAGTATAGTTATTATTAATATCAAGATAGACTGAGCTCCATCTACTTATCGAGACAGGAGTATATTCGGAGTGACAAATATGAACTCGGGAATACGGGGTCCGATGAAAGCATCCATGGGTACAAGGTTCTAAGGGGCAGAGCCCGTGGCGGTGGTGACGTCATTATGATGTAATAGTCAGTTATATCATATAACCAACCTTCCAACCATTATTTTGACGCCAAAATGCATATAACCACCATTTAACTACTTTCTTCCCTATATAAGAATAGATTGCATGTTCCAAGAAAAAAAAGGTTACATTCTATATACTCGAAATCTGTTCATCAGATTCTCGCTATCTCTCAAAACGTAAAGTAGCAAGGTAGTTTCTGTGTTTCGGATTTGGAAGTGACGTGACTTTTAAATTGTCTCTTTTGGATTATCCTAAATCAGATTTCGTGATACCCAAGACATAAGGGTTGAAATCATAAATTTTGGAAAATGATTGCAATCACGATCTAAGATATTATCCAAGTCTATATTGATATACTTTAGACACCAAAATCTAACAAACTAGTCAAATTATATAATGGAACAAGATTAATCTATGCCTTAACCGTTATAAGTCTACACATATATTGTGAAAAAGAATCTAATTTATGAAGGTAATAAATTTATAAAACATGCAGCCTAGTAGTAACGCAACACCTTCACTTGTTCCACACCACAATAGTGTATATCGGTTGCCAACTCTCGATGTTATATGGAGTGGTCTACAGCATACTTACTCAAAAAGTATGTCACATCAACTTCACTATATTCTTATTAGTCCTTACACACATCAGGAAATGCCCGCCACTCCACATCATTTATATAATTTATTTTTTATATTTTAATTACACAATTTTAATAAAAACACAACTTTTTATGCAAAATGACATAAACAATCAGTACTTAATTTATTTTTCCCCTATCATGTGCTTGTAGCGGGTGTTTTATGTAGTGTCATGTAACATCCCAAAATTTGAGGCCAAAAAAAATGTTTTAAATTAAGTAAATCATCATTTAGGTTACCAAACATTGTCACTATTTCATCATTCATAAAATCATAAAATCATGTCTCGAAAACCATATCATCAGGAACAATGAAAATCAGAGTACAATCCCAGAAAATCCGATGCGGAAACCATGTGTGTGATGCGCTGCTACGCCGCCGACTCTTTCCCCTTGGACGAAGAGGTACCTGAAACCAAAACTGAAACTGTAAGCACAAAGCTTAGTGAGTTCCCCCATCATACCACATACCACATAACACCGTCGGTATCTTTCAACCGGTAACTGCCATCGGTATCTTTCAACCGGTAACCATCATCGGTATCTTTCAACCGGTACACGCCATCGGTATCTTTCAACCGATAATTGGGGACTATTTCACCCCCTAGCACTAGCATACCGTAACGAGAGGTAATCATACAGTCAGGCATAACTGGGTAGGGACAACTAATCCCTTCTACACACATAGCATATCACACAGGCATATCCCATGACCATAACACATTAACATACCAAGATAATTATCACAAAGACAATCATCTCAAACATAACTACCTACTGGTGGGCCGACATTGATGCCTTAGACCCACCCCTACCGGAAGGTAACTCACCTCGTAGTAGTAGCTGCCGATCTGTGCGGGAACTCTCTGTCTGCTGCTGCTGCTCCGGAAATCCTCCGGCTATAATTCCCACAAAACACTCAATCAGGGTCTGATAACTACTCTTATGGTAGAATGACTATTTTACCCCTGACCTAGTCAAAGTCAAGCCAAAGTCAACTTCCAGCTGACCTGACTCGCCGAGTTGGGCCGCCAACTCGTCGAGTCCTTATCCATCTAATTGTCCTCATTCCCGTCCCTACTCGTCGAGTTAGGCAATGAATCGACGAGTTCTCCTCCTATTCGAACATCGAATGATCCTTCATCCGACTCGCCGAGTTGTATGAACAACTCGCCGAGTTCATCTTCATCTGAAGAACAAGTCCTATCCTAGACTCGCCGAGTTGTATGAACAACTCGTCGAGTTCATCTTCATATGCTGTGAGATTGCCTTGGACTCGCCGAGTCTGTTCATGTACTCGCCGAGTCCCATGAACTCCAGGTCTAAGGCTAAGTCCAATACGTTGGGTCACTCCTTTGGATCCTCTAAAACTCTTACATCACCCAACTGGGTTCCTTCGAACCCTAACAGAAAAAGGGAGTCAAGTCTCCGACTCGCCGAGTCCCAAGAACGACTCGCCGAGTCGATAACGTCCAGCTCTAATTCTTCGATTTCTGAAGTGCAACTCTTGTCTAAATGATATATCTATGCCCCTAAGATCGATCTAGCACGTAAAGTTACAAACTTTACGTGCATGCGTGGGACTTTGAGCCTAAAATGCCCAAAAATAAGCTCTTAAGATGCATGGAGCCTTCCATGGGTGCAAAAGCAACCCCTAACTGCCTTGTGACCCCTCCAAGGTCCTAGATCCGAAGCCTTGACCCCCCCAACCATGCTTGCAATCATGGTTGGTTACAAAATATGGCTTAAAAGCCCTCAATCTCCCCAAAAAGGGATCTAACAAAAGAACAAGCAAGGTATAGACTTTCTACCTTCTGGAGACTGCAAATGATGAACCAACAAGGACTCCTTTGGTCTTCTCTTGATCCCTCTAAGTTCTTCCTTCTTCCTTGTGATCAAAACCACCAAAAATCACCACAAATGCCTTAGATCTTCACACACACAGTTAGGGTTCACTATGGAGGGTTTCTGGGAGCAATAGGGACGAGTGAGGGCTGAATGAGATGATTAAATAGGGTGCAAACCCTCAGATTAGGGTTTTTGTCCAGACATCGTCTACTCGTCGAGTCCGGCCGCCGACTCGACGAGTCCACCACTTAAACCCCGGGTCTAAACCGCTTCTACTCGACGAGTTGGGCCGCCAAATCGTCGAGTCCCAAGACAAAATGAAAAATTCTTAAATAAAGGAAATACATACCAGGAACTAGGTGCTACAAATCTCCCCCACTTATTTTAGACTTCGTCCTCGAAGTCTGCTGCTCGTTCATGGAAAAGCTCCGGATAATGCTCCATCATCTCATCCACCGGCTCCCACGTCCATTCCGAGCCCTTTCGGTGCTGCCATTGCACCTTCACCAGCTCGACCTTCTTGTTCCTCAGGTCCTTCGACTTCCGGTCGAGGATCGCCACAGGTCGCTCAATGTAATTCAGGCTGTCATCGACCTGAATATCCTCCAGGGCACCACTGCTGAGTCGTCCAACAGACACTTCCGCAGCTGTGAGACGTGAAAGGTGCTATGAATCTGACTGAGTTCGGCTGGCAGATCCAGCCTATACGCCACCTTGCCCACCCGGGCTATAACCTCGAAAGGTCCAATATATCTGGGACCCAACTTGCCCCGCTTCCTGAATCGGATGACGCCCTTCCATGGCGACACCTTCAGGAGAACCCTATCCTCGACCTGGAACTCCAGGTCTGATCGGCGCTTGTCGGCATAACTTTTCTGCCGACTCTGTGCAGTCTAAAGCCTGCTCCGAACCTGCTGAATCCTCTCTGTCGTCTTGAGCACCACTTCGGTGCTCCCCATGACCCTATGGCCAACCTTACCCCAGCATATCGGGGTCCTGCACTTCCTCCCGTATAACATCTCGAAGGGAGGACGATCGATACTCTCGTGGTAGCTATTGTTGTAAGAGAACTCTGCCAATGGGAGGTAAGTATCCCAGCTACCACCGAAGTCTAGCACGCATGCCCGCAGCATGTCCTCCAGAGTCTGGATGGTCCGCTCGCTCTGACCATCCGTCGGTGGGTGAAAGGCGGTGCTGAAGTGCAGACGAGTACCTAACTCGTCATGGAATTTCTTCCAAAACCTGGAAGTGAACCGCACATCCCTATCTGAAATCACGGAGACTGGCACTCCGTGCCGAGTCACCACCTCTCGAATGTATATGCCGGCCAACTTCTCGGCCGAGATACACTCCTGGATCGGTATAAAGTGGGCACTCTTGGTCAACCAATCCACGATGACCCAAATGGAATCCACTCCCCGCGCGGTCCTGGGAAGTTTGGTGATGAAGTCCATAGTAATATCTTCCCACTTCCACAGAGGAATATCCAACAACTGCATCTTGCCGTGTGGCCTCTGGTGCTCGGCCTTGACCTTCCTGCAGGTCAAGCACCGCTCCACGTACCATGCTACATCTCGATTCATGCAGGGCCACCAATAGTCTAGACGAAGATCTCTATACATCTTCGTCGCCCCGGGATGAATGGAGAATCGGGATTTGTGCGCCTCCTCCAACAACACCTGACGCACACCCCCGAGGTACGGTACCCACACCCTACGGTGTAATGTCAATAATCCTCGGCTATCATAGTCGAAGGAGGAAACCAGTCCCACAATCCCCTCACTCTTCTGATGTTCCTCCTTCATGGCCTCCTGTTGGGCCTCCCGAATCCGCTCCAACAACGGAGTCACCACTGTCATCCTCATATATATATATCCCTGATCGGCGCTGCCTTGCGGCTAAGCGCGTCGGCCACCACATTGGCCTTCCGCGGGTGGTAGAGGATCTCACAGTCATAATCCTTTACCACATCAAGCCACCGACGCTGCCTCATATTCAGGTTTGGCTGGTCTTATGAGATACCTCAGGCGCTTGTGGTCCGTGTAGATAGTACAACGAACCCCGTATAGGTAATGGCG